TATGCACCAAACGTTCACATGTATCTTCCCTCTATTTCCCATACTCCAAGTCTTTGTTTAAACATGGCATATTCTTCCAAGTACCATGTTAACACTTCTTGTCCCACCACTCGATCCTCAAGTAACTTTAGGATTCCAGTGGACCACAATAAGTACCATCTGTTTGTAGCACCCATACACTGCATACATACCATATTTATCTAGTTTATTCTCACCATTCCATCCCTAATTCACAAGTCTCATTTCTTACATGGTAAATTCTTCACAATCTACCATGTTATCACATCTCATCCCAACCCACTTGATCCTAAAGTAATTTAACGGCTCCATTGAATCACAATAAGTACCATGTGTCTACAACGCCCATACACTGCGTGCCCATCTTACTTATCCCGTTTCAATATTATCATTTCATTATTTGATTCACACTTATCTTATCTCTTTTCTCATAACCCATTTCTTTACTTGAAAATTTTAGGTACTTATATTCTTTAACCCTCGGCTGCTCATAAGCCAGTTGTTGTGACTTTCTCACTTCTTCCTATCACCTTTACATGTAATACATCTAAAAGATGAATTTTCACTTACATACCCACCTCTTACATTGGGAAGTCACACACTCCTAATGTTTCTAACTTCTTATTTTTAGATGACACATAGTCATCTCATTCTCTACTAGGACTCTACACCCAGCCTTACACTTTTCTCATGAGTCCACTATCTTCCCACTTCTCTATGACACTTCTTACTCTATTTCTAATTATTCCTTATTACATATAAGATCTAATATTCTTCTTTCTCTAACAGTTACTCACAAGTAAACGGTTACATAACATACATATATCTACACAATCTAACGTGTCTATCTCTTCTTGCCCTAGGAGTTACACCTCTTCTTCTTTCTCTCTTGTGGACACACTACGACGGTCTCCTCTTACTATGCATACTCTGTACCTCTTACTTCATCATAAGTCTTGACCCATTTTCTCCTATTCCTTAGCTCTTAACACAACTACAATGGAACATTACTACTATCTTTTTCTTAAATTTCAACCATGACTCTTGCTGCACCACTTTCTCTTTATCTACACATCTATATTCTTTCTCTTCCAATCTATCTCTGGTCAGTGCTATCACTAGCATCAATGACTTGATGCAAACTTTACTCTCCATAAAATGGACTTTCTTTTCACATAGCCACTTGCTCACAAGTGATGACGATCTACTCTTATACTCAATAGTACACTTCTTTCACTCTTTGACATTAGGGACTTTCTAAGATAGACTCTCTCTATCTTTTATTCTCCTTCCCTGGGCATACCAACCCTATCTACCCATATGTACTCTTTCTATCCCCTTTTCAATTTTCATATCTTTATGTCCATCTTTTTGTCCCCATTCTCGAATCTTCACTATTTCTTCTTCTTCTTTTGGGACACATACTCTATCTATTGTCCATCTACTAGGACACATCATCTATAACATATATTTATTTCATGATACAAAAGTATCATTCTTTCTACATACTCTTGGCATATCTTTATGTAGAGATCCCATATTCTTATGTCATTTCACAAAATGACCATCCTTTCTTTCTTCTCAACATACTAGACTGAAACCCTCTTGGTTGATCAATCTACTAACTCATTCTAATGAGTTCTTTATCTACACATATCTACAGTTGTGTACTTAATCTCATAACATGGTTTATTACATAACCAACTCATAAACTATGTTCCTCTTTCCTCTTCCACAATTTAAGTCTAGGAATGGACATATCAAACCTAATTCACTTAAACTATGGCTCTGATTTCAATTGTAACGACCCATATTTTCTACATCTAATTATCTAGAGATTATTAGAGTTTTTTCTAACAATTAAAAAATTCTATAAAAATTAAAACGCTTCACATCACAGGGTTAATTATGGGTTCAAAAATAATATTTTTCTATAAAAATGAACAACAAGGAAAAGTATAATAATTAAAAATTATTCTTCTATGCTGAATTATATTCTAATTTTTTTTCATGTTTCATTTACTCTTCATATAACTCTTTCTATCTTTTTATGCTCTAATCTTGTTCTTTGTCTTACTCATACTCTACAGTATAAATCTTCTTATTCTTTTCTATTATCTTCATAGACTCAATATTATGTCCTCTTTTCTCATACTCTACTTTATTCACTATCTTTCTCATATTATATATCCCTTACTCTATCATTTGCTCTTCTTCTCATACCCTTTCTTCGCATCTTCTAAGGCCTATCTCATATTCTCTCTGTCTCTTCCTCTCTCTCTCTCTCTCTCTCTCTCTCTCTCTCTCTCTCTATATATATATATATATATATATATATATATATATATATATATATATATATATATATATATATATATATATATATTCTCTTATCTTGGCCTTTACCCCTATCTCTTCTCTACTTATCTCTTCATCTTTCTATCTCTCTCCATACTTTACGTTACCTTATTTTTCGTTTACTCTTCTCTATGCTCAATTCATACTCTTCTCTAACTCTTATTTTGTTCTTGTCATATTTGTAACTTTTAGCATGCCTTTTCATGCTCTTCTTGCTTCATCTCATACTATAATTATATGCATATGCTCTCATACGAGATCTTAAATGTATAATTATATGTACCTTATCTGACATAGGATTATAATGCATGTAATCCAATCTTTTTCCTCTGTATCATGCTCATAGACATGATGCTAAGCATATAATCACAGATACATACATATAACTCTATATATATAAAAATATATATAGAGAGAGAGTGAGAGTTATAACTCACCTTGTTAGTCAGTGAGGACTAACTAGCACTTGGCTCCAAATCTTCAGTTGATGCATCTTGGATCATCCTTTTGCTTAAGGCCTATTCATAATTTCAAGTTCCTTAAAACTTATCTTAACCTATTAAGAGCTTATATACTTCCTTATGTCAAAATGATTACTTAATTGATCATGATAATAACATTTCATTTTTCTACTTCTAAATCCAATATAAAAAGTGCACTAGGCATCCCATACTACCTAATTCATTATACTCTAATCTCTAATGCATCAATTCAACATTATCACTAGTTAGGGTTTCAAACCCTAACTCAAAATGGATTGATTCCACCATGGATATAACATATGGAGCTTGTTCAAAGCTCCTAAACACTCTTAATAACATCAATAACAAGATTCCTAAGAGTAATCTGTCATATCTATCTCAATTCTATAAATCATTATTAAAAACCTTATAGCTAAAAAATGGAGACGATGGTTACCTTAGGAGCTTTTGATGTTCAATCCTTGCCTCTAGCACCTTTGATATCACTTGATCTTTCTCCTTCCTCAGAATCTTTTGAGCTCCTTTCTCTAAGAAATAGGGGGTGTTTTTGTCTAAAATTAGGGCTTAACAGCCTTTAATCTGTCTCGTAACCGCATTGTGGTCATGTCTTTACCGCGCCAAGGTGTGCATTATTTGGCCGTGGTCAGTTTTTCACTGAGCCACGGTGCCTTTCCACAACAACATTATACTTTGGAAACCGCGTCGTGGCACCTATATACCACGCAGCGGGGCAAAGTACATTTCCAACTTTGGGACATTTTCCTCCAATCTTCTAACGTGCATAACTTCTTTGTTTCTAACCCGTTTTCTATGATCTTTATATCCACGCGAAGGTGGGAACATTATCTTAAATTTTGTTAAGTTATTTCTCAATGAATTAATACGGGTCTTAATCTATTAAGTCACAAAATTGGCCTAAAAAGCATATAAATACCCATTTTACCCTTTTGACCAAAATACATATTCTTTTGCATTCTTTCTCTTGAAATTACTCCTCTTACCTCATCTTAGTGACTTAAACTCATCTTGGTCATTTTCATGAAGTCATAATTTCATAATCTCACTAAATTCTCATTAATGACCATTTTTCCCTTGTGGTCAATATTTGACTAAAACTCAAATCTCTATAAATTTTGGGTTCTTAAAGTTGGGGCATGCATACCATTGAGCTAAGGGGTCTTTTGGTTTGTGGCTTTGTATTAAACATACGTGCGAAACTGTGACATCCCCTATAGTACATCGAATGAACATACAATCCTATTCATCTGGATTAGTATAATTCATTAACAATTAAATACGACAAAACTTCAAAAATGCTCCCTGTGGTTTCACGAAATCTGAAGTTTGGTCCCTAATTTTAAAAAACCTCACGGATGGTCCCTATGGTTTCAAAACTTTTAATATTTATTCCTTTCGGCTTACTCCATTACCATTTAGCCTTTAAGTGAATGTCATTTTCGTCATTTTGACTACCCATGCACCATTTATGAGGTTTTCTATTATTATTTTGTTTTAAAAAAAAGAAAAATAAAATTTAATACTCTCTCTCTCTCTCTCTCTGTCTCTCTGACGTGAGTTGTGTGCTTCTGTAAGCTCTAGTGTGTGTAATTCTTCTCTCTATTTTCCCTTTCGGTTTTCACTCTCTGCATTTGTTGTGTTGCTAAATTCACCTGTAAAAAAACAAGGCTAGAGTTTCTTCTTTTACTACATCTTTTTCTTTATTCTTCATTCACCCATCCATCAAATCCAGGGTGAAGATCCCTCCAAGATCTCGAGCACGCGGAGTAGAGAGTATACGTCAGCAAAGGGTAATTAAGCAAAGGTTAATTAGGGGAATCTCTCATATTCCTGTAGCAGAAACACTAAGAAGAATCAGAATTAGAATCGGTTCAATCGGGAAAAACCCTCTTCTTCAAGGTCTCAACAGTGTAGGAGAAGGCCCTACTTCTGAAACAAAGCCATCATTGTTACATTCTTCTGAAGCAGCAGGGGGTAGTCAAAGACACCGTTCACGCCCATTATCAAGGTTAATATCGGAAAGTACTGCTTCTATTTCCTCTATTTCATCTGCCCTAAACAACACAGAAAGATTGATTGAAGATATTGAAACATACATCAATGATCGGCTTTTGAGAAGAACAAATGCTTCATAGATTCTACCAAGTAATCAAGAATGCAACACTTTTATTCCAAATGGTGGTAATATTCAAGTTCAACTGGAGCCTCAGAATGCAGAGATGAATCTAAATCCAAATCCGAATCCTGGTCTCCCTGTTTCTTCTAGTTATTCTCAAAGAGCGATTGCTACTACTGTTGTGCATTTGGATAATATATCAACTGATAGTGCTGTAGAGATTGATCTGACTATATCGCATCCTTCTTCTTCTTCTTCTAGGAGAGGTGTTGTTTCAAGGGCGTTGAGTTTGGAAGGTGGGACTTCTGAGGAAGAAGAATACGTTGGAGAAGATGAACTGGGTGGTGCTTCGTAATAAAGAGAGAGAGAGAGAGAGAGAGAGAATATTAAATTTATTTTTCTTTTTTTTAAACAAAAAAACTAATAGAAAACCTCATAAATAGTCATTGGGTAGTGAAATGACGAAAATATCCTTCACTTAACGACTAAATGGTAACCGAGTGAGCCAGAAGGACTAAATATTGAAAGTTTTGAAACTGTAGGGACCATCCGTAAGGTTTTTTAAAATTAGGGACCAAACTTCAGATTTCGTGAAATTACAGGGACCATTTTTGAAGTTTTGTCAATTAAATACTATAAGTCTGCTAGTGTGATGCAAAAATAATTATACACTAGCTTTAACCTACTAATGTAACTAGTTATTATTCCTAAGGAAGTGTACCTAGTTGAAAATAGAATAGCACAAATATTCGGGTATCGAACACAGGGAACTGAATGATTAGCTAATTTTATCTACTAATTACCAAAATTACTATTTAATAAAGGAAATGAGTTTTCTCTAGTTTTGCAAGACTAGAAACTTAATTAATTAAAATAAAACTAATTATTAACTAATGAAACAAAAAGCTAGACTAAAAGTAGGAACCTCAAAAGACAATTTTAACCAAGATAATTGAGAGACTTTCGTTTAGATTCGATATACTTGCTATTATTGTTGATTTATTGAAAGTGCAATGGACTAATGCTTCTTTGGTTATCGATTCCTAAGATGACCAGATTAATGTTCACTAACCTAATCCTTTAGACAATAAGTTCATTCATACGGTGATCAGACAGATAAACTAACAAATGTACTAGTGTTCAGTTCAAGTTAAATTATATTTATAATGGATTGATCAATTTGGTTCATTATAACAATTCAATATATGATTGGTCATCATATATTAACTCCTAAAATTAATTACCTACTTTTGTATTTAACCCTAGGTTTTTGTCAAAACACTAGTCCTATAATTTTTCAATTCACAAAGATCATAAGATTCAATTTTAATCAAGAATGATGGTCATGCAAACTAAATTAAACTCAACAATAAACAGAAAAGTAGTTCTCATAAGCATAGAGAGGTACTTTAATAAGTTAAAGTAACAAATAACCAACTAAACATAATCCAATCCATAAATCAAACCATAAAAAGACAAGTAATCTAATTTAAACGAAAGTCAGGGGTTTTTAGCCCATGATTTCAGCAAGTAAACACATAAAAACAAAGTTCAACTTGTTATTCATGATTAAAAACAAGAAGAAAAAGTATAAGTAAGTTGTTTTGCCTCAAATCTCTGAAATCCAAGCTTCAAATCGATCTTCTGCAGCTCTAAGCTTGAAAGTATGTTCTTGGCATTCAAAAGTCGACAAAAGCTCCAAGAAAAGTTGGGTTTTCGGAGGAATATGCCTTCTACATATAGTTTTCTCGAAGTCAGTCCACCACATCGTGGCAAGTCCACTACAACATAGTCTTCGGGTTTATCACGTAATGCGCAAGTCTTTGAGGTTCGACGGGAAACTTCCAAACACCACGACATGGTAATGTCACCACGACGTGGGAATGGCACTTATCTTCATTTTATCTTTGATCCAAGTTCTTAGCCTCCAGCTTCCAGCTTCCTTTTTCCTTCGATCATGTCTTTTACCACTACAACACAACACATAATAGATTAAGTATCGTTTGTTCTATAATGAGCATAAAAATGACTAGAAATATTAAGATATGATGTAATATATATATATATATATATATATATATATATATATATATATATATATATATATATGTATATATATATATATGCACATATCATAGTGATTCAACAAGATTAGGTTTAGTCAGTGGTCTTCATCCTACTTCGGTAGATGACTGGTCATCTATGAGCCTAACGGTTACCTGGTATGGACATACCATTTCTGGCTGTTTAATAAGGAGAAGGAATACTAATAAAGTACTTATGTACGTAAAACATACGCCACCAAACATCAATGTCATCAAACAGAGTTCTACTCTCCGTTCCCATCTGACACATACCTTTAAAATGATGTTATCCATTATTAAGACGTAATTGAGCTGAGCATCTCCACTGAGCCTTAGTGTATAACTAGACAAGATTACAATACCTGTAATAAACCTTCAACACAAATTTCCTGCCTACATAATATCTTTGCGGTACAGGGTATAACTAAGCATTCATTCAACTCGAACTAAATGTCCTTGACAAACCTTAGTTTGTTACTAGACCAGTTCATTCTTCATCGTCAATAAAATATTCACTATACTATCATGATATATAGTATGACCATACTATTATCCAACTTAATTGGATCTAAACATCTTTTATGCGTGTCAGTTTAGAAACTAGACTAGGCTACAATCCCTGTAATCAACATACAATACCAACTCGATTTAGATAACACTGTCCTAATTTAGTGTATATATTTAACACATAGTATTAGGTATTTAATATAAATTAATCTTTTTTTAGTAATAATACTTATATTAATATTAGCAAGTAATAATATCATATAAACACCTTAACGCATATATAACCATATCTGGTTTGCACAGTGTATGTCGTCGAATATACCTCTAACACATATTCTAGATAATAAGCATTTAATTCACATATAAACTTTCAACATATGTTTAAAACTTTTAATAAATACTTGTATTAAAATCATGTTCATGAAAAGTAACTATACACTCACATGATTGGGGTGGAAGATCCACGGGAAAGCTAGCTCCTTGACTAATACTTCCGTTTATCCCTTTGATACAATCTAAATACAAGTATTACTATGCTTCTGTATTCGTTCGTATTTATAAGCTTTATAAATTATTTATGGATTCTTCAATAATTCCAAGAAATGCTTCAAGTTCTATCAAATAAGGAACAACCAGGTAAGATCATATCGGAAGTAGGATCTGTTTGATATACATAGTATACTGTTTGGAAAATCCACTTTAAACACCTCACTAGATCTAGACTAGATATCACTCTCGTAAGTAGACCAATCAGTATTTTGAATGGAATCACCAATAAATCTTATTTATAAATTCATAATAACGGCTATGAATATAAACATAAGTCACACGTAAAGCGTAGTAAGTGCAACTTAACTTACAGAGTTTCTAGCAAAAAGTCGCAGACATAGCCTCGACTTTAAATACTTCATTTCATCGGGATTTCCAATGCTACAACACCTCGCTAAAATACTCGAGACTCAGAAGCCGGATACCAGAGGTTTGGGAGAGAGTTTGAGGGAGAGAGAGTTGAGTGAAAATGGGCAAGGAAATGAAGAGAGTTCAACTTCTATTTATATGAGGTTTTCATAGGGCGATGTGTTCCATCCCAGGTGGTGCCACATGCCATGCTCTCACTGGTGCTATATTGCTTGGTCGGTGGCAGAAGTGGCTGCCGCCTTTGCCATGTGGTGCACTCTCAGATTTTCTAAAAATCATATCTTTTGCATACAAGCTCCATTTTCGAAGTTCTTTATATCCAACATTTGTATCAACGAGTACCACAACTTTCCTTTAGACTTCGTTGGATATTTCTCATTCCATTTTATATTTACAGTCTATGAAGATTACACTGTAAAATACCATGAAAAATTCATAACTTCTTCATACGAACTCCGTTCTCGATGTTCTCTATTTCGATGAATTCGTATTTATGATATCTTTAACTCTCATTATATTGTTTTGGCTAACAATCAATCTATTTTTTATTTTGATTTCTTTATCGAATATTGTTGTACTGTGTCGCACCGAAACTTTGAAAAATCATAACTTATTCGCACGAAGTTAGATTTAGGCGTTCTTTATATGCACACTTTAGTAATTACGATTACGATGAGTTTTGTTTAGATCACTTAGGCTAATAAACAACCTATCTCTGATTCTTCTTTTATGATACACTTTTCCGTATAGGACTGAACACGAAACTTCAAAAAAACATAATTTTCTTATACAAAGTCAGATTTGAGTGTTCTTTATACCCACAAAATCGTCATCGTGACTACTACTAATTGTGTCAAGACTAATTATCCTAAGTAATCTTTTATTTTTAAAATTTTATTTAATGTAATTTGTTAAATTTGTAATAATGTTTTATACAAATATTATAAGCCCATAGAAATTGTTCCTAAAAATGTACGCAATATATAAATATCATTTGTATAACTCGTATTGCGTATGAAGGATTCTTATTTATTTACAATTATCCTATTCGAGGATTTAATTATTCGATAAAACGAATGTTTATAATTTATAGTTCTTAAAACGTCTAGCCCGAATTCGCGTGTATTACAGAAACCACATGATAACTAGGGTTTGTGAGCTCTTTTCCAACCCAGACGTCAAATCTTTATAATAAGAAAACTTACCTTTTATTCAATTAGATGTATATGAAATACTTTTTCTTCCCTTGAATTTTTTTGCCTTGCCTCAAATTTGAGCTAACGCCTACAATCATCCTTTAATGTTCTCTGAAGTTTAAGGAGAGTTTTAGAATGTGTTAAGAAGGTTACGAGACCTAGCTAAACGATTTAAACCTTTTAAACACTTATTTTTGTTTGGCCAAGCTACATAGGTCTATGTTTTCATGCCTAGAAAAATGTGGTCTGTGTTTTCTATTTTTCTTCTCTATTTAGGCAATGCACTTTCATAAACTCGTGCCACATTTTTTCCCAACTTCAAACACTCATAACTCTCTCATACAAACTCATATTATGTTGATTCTTTTTGCCACTTTTACCTTGACATCCTGGTTACGTTATAAAATTAAGAATTAATCGATTTAATGTATTTAATACCAAATTTCATAACCTCTATACTTTAATTACCAAAACAACCAAAATGCCATTTTCAAAATTCCAAAACATGGGAGTTTGTCAATGTAACATTCCGATGATGAGGTATTTTCAATTTTAACTCTAAGAATGAAGAATTATTGCATTTTGGCCCTTATGCATGAGAAAACTTGCAAAATAGCCCATAGTGGCATTTTTATAATTTTTGTGGCGGA